GATGAAAGTGTCCTTAGCCCCATATCGACGCAATTTAAATCATTTAGGTGGTTGTTTCTGACCCTTCCAGTCAGGGCCAACCCACGTTGAATGGGAAAAAACACCTCAGAAGAAAGACCGAGATACTTTAAAAAAAAATTCTCCTCACACTGGAATCTCGAGTCTCCTGTATGTGACAGCGAGCCAAACGGCTGCACCACAGACAATGCTGGCGACATGTGCCATACCAAAGATAGGACAAGTGACCGGTAATATAAACTTACCTTTTGTCTTTTGATAGGTTCTTCTTGAAGAGGGCTTCATCTTTGACAGCGTCTTGATGTAATCTGCAATCTGGTCAATATATCAGGAAAAGTCAACGACCATAAAGTGTCAGTAGAACAGATTATAACAGATTACAGCTCATATCCTCATATCCACTAGTAAAAAAGAGGCTGTGTGCGTTTACTTCAGATTCCTTAAGTGCCTAGTCTAAAACTTGAAAGGGAAAGCAGAGTTCCCCGATCAATTTCTTAGCTCAAATGCTCTAAAATAAACAACCTTATCTTCTCCTTGTTTTTTTCTGTCCCCCATCTGTTTAAGTTTTCTATTCTTGGTCTACCTCTGCCTCTTTTTCCTTCAGTTTTATAGGTGAAAGTAAAACATGGATTTTACTTTTACAACAAAGAAATATAATAATGAGTGCTAGATTGCAAAACATTAAAAAACAACTAGAAAAGGGAAATCTTTCATACATTGGACAGAAAATCCTCGACAAAAACAGACCTCTTCCGGAGTCTTTGTTCCGACGATGCTTGACAAAACTTCCACATTGTCCGGTGAGAACCTGTAAAAGAGTACAAACACTGTAAGGCACACCAACATATCAACAATAAACCATCCCTTTTTTGACCCCCGAAAACCCAACACAGGATCACTCCCATCTTTTCAAGTGATTCCATTACATAGGCAAAAACCTACACCATCTAATCTAAACCTCTTAAACCCATCAAAAGCTGTCACTGTCTCTCTCAGCCTGCCGCTGAGTACTCACTGAGTACTGTTGCAAGTAGCAATGCCAATGAAAATTTAAATTTTCACTTTAGCCCCCTTTTTTTTGGTACCTAAGAAAGAATTTTCAATCCTAAGAATTAAGCTTCTTGAATTTTAAGAATCGGTTCATAAATACAAAAGTTATAGGGTTGTAAAGATCGGCAAAATATGGATGACCCACATATAGGAAAATACTCCTAAAACGTGGACCACGCAGTAGCAGATTCTGTAAGAAAATCGACGATATCTCGGTAACTAATCGGAGTGTTCGAGAGAAACTTGGCTACCCGATGTGTTTTTGAGTGTAGAAATCATTTCTGCAGTCAGATTTACTACCAATTTCGTAGTTATTTTGTTATAATTAAAATTTTGGTGTACATATTACGATTTTGCGAAAAAAAGGGGTGTCGGGATGAGTCCATTTTATTTATAGCATCGTATCACAACATGGGATCTTTAAGAATATATGTCGGCAGCGAGACTAAACAATTGCAAAGCTTTTTATGATGACTTTAGACCATGCCAACCGTAAAAGATAAGTTAATTCAATCTAGCATGCCGTACAATTAAAAATTCTTTTTCCCCGCTGAAACGTGAACACCCCGAGATGAGATAACCTAGCCTCGGAATACCCCCATTGCAATGTTACAGGGGAATAGAGAGAAAAACAACCGGGTGCGCGCGCCCACCATTGCCCTATTTCAAGTGACCAATGAACGGGCCTAAAATAGTCATGCGGGGATTTGTAGGTCACATACATTTGCCACGAGAGTGAGGGGAAGATGGCCGGTCTCCGTGCGAAGCCGCTTTGGATAGGGGGGTAGTCGTGCATTTATGATCGGGTCTAAACAACTACTTGACACAAAACGTTCAAATTTGAGCACACTATAGAGGATAGATAGATCTATTACCATCTCGTCGTTGAAATTCAAACTCCTTATAGTTTTTGGTGTACACGATACGAAAGTGTTCCCGACACCAAAAGTATAGGTTAATTTATGTGTACGAACTTCAACGTCCACATATCATTAGTTTGCCCTATTTTCTGATTGGTTGCCGAGTTTCATTAGGATTGGTTTGGAAATAGAGCAGACCGAGGTTGACAAAGTTAGTCACCTACGCTTCGACCGGTCCGCAAAATCGCCCGTAAACGGGGACCAAATTTTCGCCGCGCGGGAAAGCCCGATTGGCATTGCTATTGCAAGTGTCCTAAAACTTTCACTCAAACGAAAACAAACATGTTTGATTTTGGAATGATCAAACTGAGATAGCCTTTGCTTCCCCAAGAAGGAAAATCCAGTTAGATCTAATTAATTGTATATAATCAAACGGATATTTGACAAAAATTGAGCTACATTAAAAGTGCACTGGGTATAAAAGGAAAGAGATGCCAAACAGAACAAGTTGGACTTTGTCTTTTCTACTTCTTTACTTGAAACCCTGTACAGAGAAATCACTAACCTTCTCACAGCCTCCAACAACTTGGTCTTTTCCACTACAGTCCACTCCTTAACTTCTGAGAACTTCGTAACCGACTTTTGAATCCTGGCGGACCTCTTGACAACTCCACTGGGAGTGGAACCTTCAGTGCCGCATTTTGACTTTGATCTTCTTGATGAATTTTGTGGGCACTGATCTGCCATGTTTTGCAAACTGCTGGCATAAAAATAGCAGAATAGATATTTAGAATATATAGTTCAATCAAAATAAAAAACCATCAAATATTTAAAAAATAAAAACTAGGCTTCACTTTGCGATGGAAATGAAGTTGATATTCGTGTTCACCACATCAACACTTTAGAGATAACATTAGATTATAGTATTAGTAGAGCATGAACACCTTCTAGATTATCTATAGATTAGATCTTGTATTAGATCTAGATCTAGTAGTAGCTAAAACAGTGTGAGATGGGAGGGAAACTAAAACAAAAAGAATACCCCCAAATATCAGCAGTGTACAGGCCTTTGTGTGCGAGTGAAAGTGAAAATTTACACATCAGTTGAAGTTGAAGTGTATAGAATTATCAGATTCTTCTTTGAAAACTCGTGAAACTGTACGGTTTAGAATCTACACCTCTCTGTCATGATGTTAAAAATTACTAAATCTAGATCTAGATCTAGATCATTCTAGGCTTAAATGAAAATAACTATATCGCAGTGGCTATTTTTACGGCGAGCCG